AAAAGTCTGGGTTAAGGGCCGGGCGCGGTGGCTCACGCCTGTAATCCCAGCACTTTGGGAGGTCGAGGCGGGTGGATCACCAGGTCAAGAGATCAAGACCATCCTGGCCAACATGGTGAAACCCCATCTCTACTAAAAATACCAAAAATTAGCTGGGCATGGTGGCGCGTGCCTGTAATCCCAGCTACTCGGGAGGCTGAGGCAGGAGAATTGCCTGAACCCAGGAGGTGGAGGTTGCGGTGAGCCGGGATAGCGCCATTGCACTCCAGCCTGGTGCCTGGTGACAAAGCAAGACTCTGTCTCAAAAAAAGTCTGTTAAAACAGTTGACCACTCTTTTCTTATGCTCCAAATCCCTTGAAATGACGTATTTTAAAAGAACTAGAGTCACAACAATGAAGGAACACAAGAAAGAACAGCATCAGAGTATCAGTGATTTTGAAAAATTTCTCATCAGTTACTCAGAGTGGTTCTCACAGTGTGGTCCCCAACACTAACCACATCAGGCTCACCTAGAAACCGGTTAGAAAGGCGGATTCCTGAGCCCCGTGCCGACCCTTCTGAACCACCGACTCTGGGAGTGGGACTCTGCAATCCAGGTTTTGGCAATCCCTCCAGGTGATTCTGATGCACACCAAAGTTTGTGAACCACCGTCAAGCTGATCCGACCAACAAGAGAGGAAAACCTCAGCCCAAACTAGCCCTGGAGCCAAGAATCAGAAAGGTCAGAACCAGCCCAGGGTGCTGTAAGTTCCGTCAGGAGTGACAGGAGGGCGAGGTCTGCAGCTGAGAGCCAAGCCTTTCCTTCCTCACCTCCAAACTGAGTGGCGGGTGGGACTGGGAGACTGTCTGCCAAGGAGAGAAGAGCTCCATCCTCAGAATAAAGCGCTCTGTGTTCTGGCAAAGACATGGGAATGAAGAAGGGACCACTTCCCATCCGGGTCCTCTAAACCAGGGGTCCCCAGGCCCAAGTCGGCAGACCAGGAACCAGGACACAGAGCTGGAGGTGAGCGACTGGCAAGCGTTACCTCCTGAGCTCCACCTCCTGCCAAATCAGCAGCAGCATTAGACTCTCCTAAGAGTACAAACCCTGTTGTGAACTGTGCATGCAAGGGTTCCAGGTTGTGCACTCCTTATGACAATCTAATGCCTGATGATCTGAGGTGAAAGGTTCATCCAGAAACTATCCCCCTACCCTGTCGGTGGAAAAACTGTCTTCCATGGAACTAGTCCACGCTGCCAAAGAGGTTGGGGACCACGGCTCTAAATCTTGCCAGTTACCAAGCTCCCTTCTCAGTCAAGATGAATGCCCAAAGACGGCTTATACAAATGCAGGGAAAACGTACACCAACCACCAATACATGAATCAAGGACTCCCTCTTTCCTAAGAGGGAGCATTTAAGGACAACAGACGGCACACACGACCACTGACAATCACAGGGAAAAACAACTCAAGGAAAAGAAAATGTGAGAATTCTGGTTGATCTCTTCTGAGATTAAGGGTACTATAGGTATGAAAAGAGAATTAGAGGCTGGGCGTGGTGGGCATTACTTGAGGTTGGGAGTTTGAGACCAGCCTGGCCAACACGGTGAAACCCCATCTCTACTAAAAATACAAAAATTAGCCAGTGTGGTGGCGGGTGCCTGTAATCCCGGCTACTCCAGAAGCTGAGGAAGAAGAATCTCTTGAACTCGGGAGGTGAAGTTGCAGTGAGCTGAGATAGTGTCACTGCACTCTAGCCTAGGTGACAGAGCAAGACCCTGTCTCAAAAAAGAAACAAGAAGAATTAGAGGTAGCAATCTTGAATATTTAAATACAAATTAGTAGCCAGGCAAGGTGGCTCACACCTGTAATCCCAGCACTTTGGGAGGCCAAGGCAGAACTGCTTGAGCCTGGGAGTTTGAGACTAGCCTGAGTAACATAGCGAGACTTCATCGCTACAAAAAATTATAATTACAATTAAAAAAATAGCCAGGCTAATAGTGGTGTGTGTGCCTGTGGTTCCAGCTCATCAGGAGGTTGACAGGTGAGAGGATCACTTGAGCACCAGAGTTTGAGGTTACAGTGGCTATGATTATGCCACTACACTCCAGCCTGAGCAACAGAGGGAGACCCTGTCTCTAAAAAATAAAGAATTACTAAACTTAAAATGGAACAGAGAAGCTGAATAAGGTAATGGATATGTCCAGAGTGAATCAGTGGTCTGGAAGGTGATATTTGAAGAACTCTTTCAGAATAAATAGATCAAGACAAAAATACAAAAGTACAGTCAAGAGGGTAAGTTAATAGGTCTGACATCCACCTAAGAAAAATAATTTTAAAAATCATATTTAAAATTGCCTTTAGTACAAGAATGGTACAATGACCCTGATGAGAGGACTGCGGCATATGCACCACGGATGACAAATGTTCCACAGATCTAGACACAAACTGGTGAAACTGTAGGACTCCAAACCCTAAAAGTTTTTCATGAGGAAAAAACAGGCTACTTACCAATAAACAGAGGTAATCACATTGGTGTCTTGACCTTCATCAGCAATCCTGGATAATAGCAAATGACTGATAGCTTCAAAACTCTGAAGGAAAATGATTTTGAGTCTAAAACCATAACTCAATCTTGAAAGTGTTAAATTGAAGATTCAACATTTAATTACTTGCAGGTACCCAGCAGCCAGCACACCAGGAAACTGATCCTGGGATGCCGGAGAAAGCAACAGAAGAAAACAGTGAAACTCACGGCTGCCTGATAACTATTTACACAGAGATGAAAACTGAAGTCTCACCTGATGACATCACAAGAGGCTGCTGTGAGAAGTGAAACAACGCTGAGGGTGCTGACTTCACTGGGAGATGGGTGCATGGGATGGCTACTATCAACTTTAAACATAAAGCAAAAGGTAAGCACTAAAGAAATCGCAGTGGTGTTAGTTGTTTCCAAAGCACTGGAGGAAAAACAAGGAGAAGAGTGACAAGCCATCGAGCCAACAAGATGACAAACTAACAAGAAGAACGCATGACATGTAGAAAGCACAAAGAAGACAGCCAGGGACAGTCCAAACGTTTTAATAATCTCAATGAATATGGAGGGATTCAATTTCCCAGAGCTGTTCTGACTATATTAAGGAAAACACACTCTATTAAGTCAATTACATATGAGAAAAAGTGAAGTATTTCATAGTTATAAAGGCACGACTCACCAACAGTCATGTAATGCTCTGACATGTCAGAAGCTGGTTAGATGAACAAGAAGATGGGAATGTAGAGGCAGTAAGTCAGAACAATTAACAAGCTGAATCCAAAACAACCTGTACCCAAAATAGGCAGAGCACCCCTCTATCCCCCAACCCTCACAGAAGATTTACAGATATTGACCATATAATTCCATAAAGGAGAAACCATACAGGCTGTCTTACATCTGCTTAGAAATTTTAAATATATTTTTAAGTACTTTCTGGGTTAAATATAAAGGCAATTGACTCTGAAATAACCATTACAAATAAGCAACAGTCACCACAGCTAAAGACTGTCAGACATCACCAAGGGAGTACTCAGAGGAGTACTTTCAGTCCTAAATACATTTATTATCAGGAACAAGAAAAACAGAGAAGAAAATGATTTATACAAACACCTTAAGGCAGTGTGGGGATCCACGTCTGGAGACACGGTCATCAGTGAAAGGCCAGGAGTCTAAATTCATCCACTAACCTCAAGCCTATGACATTTGTTTGCTAACCAGTAGTAAAAGTGCAGACTGTTACATTTGAGAATGTCAACTCCGTTGTAACAGTAGTTACGTCATCCTGATAAGATGAGTTGGCTGGGAATCACATCTTTGAATATATCAAAAAAAATTTTTTTTTTAAGACAGGGTTTCACCATGTTGGTCAGGCTGTTCTTGAACTCCTGACCTCAGGTGATCTGCCCACCTTGGCCTCCAAAGTGCTTGGATTACAGGCGTGAGCCACCACACCCGGCCTGAATATATCAAAACTACACCGAGTTCCTTAAAGTCAGACACGGCCTTATTTATTTGTATACCTTGAATATAGGCACGACAGAGGCACATAGAGTAAGCACGCGACAGTGTTACAGGAACTGAATTAACTAATGTGAGGCAGATAATTTCCCAAAACATGGGGCTCACTGAAGGAGTGGGGTGAAATCGGATGAACAGATCTGTGTGGCGAGGACAAGCCTGGAAAACAGCGGCTCAACATGAATCTTCATCTCCGGTCTGGTATCACCAGGGTCACAAGCCAGGTGTTCCAGGATTCTGGAGAGGATTTTACCAACACAGAGGAGCTGCTATCAGCTTTCTTACCTTTCTTTCTTCACAGCAAAGATGCATGAACTTCCGTAATCACAAAGTTAGGTAAAATTAATCTTCAACTATAGCAGACTAATTTTTTGAAACAAATTGGTCCCTTTTAGCTGTATGTCAAAAGGGCAGACCAATAGCTACAGCTAGTAAAATTACTAGAAAGCAAAATCAAATTCCTTGGTATTATAGGAGACAAAAAGATCTCAGTAGCTTTCATTTACTTTGTAATTTTTAAAAATTAAGCACTTCAGTTAAGCACTTCAGTTGTATCTAAACATACAAAGAGGCCCCATCTGTATGAATATTTTAAACATTCAATATTTGAGCTATGTAAGTCGTGCTAGTAGGGGAATTTAAACATATCCTAAACAGGGAATATTTACATTTCAAAACCTTCTGATCGTACTAATTCGATCTGGTTTATTTTTAAAATATTCCCCCTTGCTACAGAACATCTTCCTTTTCTGCATTAAAAGCAAAATGGCCGTATTTCTCTGCCCATCTTTGCTTAGCTGAATCAATCCTTTTAAAAGCTTTTGTCTTTACTGCTAACCCACCATCTTCCATTCTTAACTGACACATCAGTCTTTCTTACATGAGAACAATACATTAAAATAAACACAAAGAAAAAAATTCTCCCAGCAAATATTAGATTCAATCCCAATAATACAGACACAGTCTTAAAAATCAGTTATGTATTTATTTGCATAGAACAAAAGGAAAGACTTAAAATTCCAACATAATCCTATGAGGCTTACATTTAATTACAAATCCAGTTTTAAGGGAAAAAAGGGTTTTGGTTTTCCTCTACTAACGAGGATGATACTATTTCACACGCTTCAGACACATGTGCTGACGTCAGACACCTGTACATCTTTACTTTTCGCAGAACTCATATCCAGGCCAAAAAAGTCCTTTTGGATGATGTACCGAACACACTGCAGAATCACGTTTCTTTCATGTCGGATATCTGGAGCTAGAAGCTACAAGAAAATTTTTAAAAAGTTAACTGGTAAATAAATTATATCTGGGAAATACAATCTGAAGTATTGCATGTACCCTCTCCATATAAAGGAGACAGAACAATAAGAAATATGTATTATATTTACTATTTGCTAAAAAATGATCCAAGAGCATGTCCTTTAAATTGACATCAAGACTATTAGCTTTTTACTTTATTTATTTTTTTTTTTTGAGACGGAGTTTCGCTCGTTACCCAGGCTGGAGTGCAATGGTGCAATCTCGGCTCACCGCAACCTCCGCCTCCTGGGTTCAGGCAATTCTTCTGCCTCAGCCTCCTGAGTAGCTGGGATTACAGGCACGCGCCACCATGCCCAGCTAATTTTTTGTGTTTTTAGTAGAGACGGGGATTCACCATGTTGACCATGGCGCCCGGCCAACTATTAGCTTTTTAAACAGCACTAATGCTCATATTTGGAGTCCTCTCTGGGAGTACCTAGCATAAGACAGGAAAATAGGTTTAAAAGTCTGCAATCTTGGCTGGGCGTGGTGGCTCACGCCTGTAATCCCAGCACCTTGGGAGGCAGAGGCGGGTGGATCACCTGAGGTCAGGAGTTCAAGACCATCCTGGCCAACATGGTGAAACCCTGTCTTAAAAAAAAAAAAAAAAGTTTGCAATCTTTTAATCTAAAAATTATGTGAAAGAGGATTGCCCAAACCCAAATTCATAAGCAGTCTAGAAATTGATAAGTACATCTACTTACATATAACAATGAAAACAGCAGTAAAAAGTTCCAATATTCTTGGACTTTTATAACTTTCCATTTTTGTGCTTATTGTAATTAAAAGAAAGCTAAAAATCCCTGGCATTTATAATAAGCACATAATCAAGGAATTATGTGTAATTTGCCAAAAAGGAATTTATTTTATTTTCTGATGTGATTAATATAGTTCAGAAACATCATACAGAAACTTTCAGTGGAAATATTAATTTACCAGTTATAAGGTAACATTTCAAAAAAAAGTAATAGTATATTTTGGATCCATTTTAATCGGAAGCAACTGTGTCTACATACAGCACCTCAGGAGGGCAGCCACTGAACACTGTAGCCACAAAACAAGCACTAACCTTTTAAGTCAAGACCAAACAAACGTTTCACAGAACGCCAGCAGTTTTACAACTCCACCTAAAAATGTGGACTACTTCCGCTGCTTAGACATGAAAATCTTTGATCTTTGAACAGCTGCATGTCCACTACTGAGCACTCAAAGACGCACTGCTTCTTCTTTACAATTAGAAGAAAGCTATCAGATTTTTGAGCACTAACACTGAGAATAAAGCCAAGAATGCACAAAATAAACACAAATAAATAAAGGTTTACAAAGAAAACAATGAGCATGGCAGTGCATGCCCATAGTCCCGGCTACTTGGGAGGCTGGGGCAGGAGGGTCACTTGAACCCAGGAATTCGAGGTGGCAGTGAGCTATGATCACGCCACTGCACTCCAGCCTGTGTGACAAAGCAAGACCCCCAACTCTTTAAAAAAAAAAAGGTGGGACAGGGAGGGAGGGAAGACGATCCCAGAAGAAAACAAATGAGAACGGTCAGAAAATCTTAGGCCTTTGCTTTCTGTTACTTTCTGGTACTCTATAGACATTTGCATTAAAAATCTTGTTTTCCCTTCAGCTTGCCATTGTAGTTTTCGCTGTGCTTTCACTGGAAACTTAAAAGTCAATAAACCTCAATACATACTTCCTTACCAACTAGTCAAACCTAGATTCTTTTAAGTGGCTCCAAAAATGTTATTGTTCTACATTCACTGAACATACCAACTATATGCAAATGTAGCTGCAGAATTAAGATGCAAAGTCTCCAAGGAGAATGTGACTCTGGTAACCCTAAAACACACACACACACGCACACACACACACCACACACACACACACATAGACACACACACGCGCACACACACAACACAAACACACGCACACACAGACACACGCACACGGACACACAACACACACACCACACACAAACACACACACGCACAGGCAGACACACACGCACACACACACACAGACACACGCAGACAACACACACAAACACACACAGACACACACAGACACATACACACACGCACACACAACACACAAACACACGCAGACACACGCACACACAAACACACGCGCACACACACGCACACAAGCACACACAAAATGCACACACACACAAAACACACACAATGCACACACGTACAACACACACACACAACACACACGCACACACAACACACACACGCACACACTGGCTCTATCTTTCTGACATGAGAATACAAAGATTAGAACCTAAAGAAAAATAATTTACCATTTCCAGGAGATATGGATGGTGTGTTCTTGGTTCGAATAATGTTCGATAGTTTTGATAATCTTTTTTCCTCTTAGGCTTTGTCTTTTTACAACGTTTCTTTTGGTTCTCACTCTTGGCTTCTGAAAAATTTCTAACAGTTGCTTTAACATCTTGACTTGGACTCTTAGGACTGCTGCTATCAAGAACCTGCTTTTCTGCCAGAACGTCTGCTTCAGTCTTGATGGGAGTTTCTAAGTATGATAAAAAACAAACACAAAAAGAAAAAACAGGTAGACCTTTCAAAAGTAACCCAAAAAAATCCACAATAATCCTCCTAGCCATAATACTGGTCACTTAATAACTTTAAACTGTGAAAGATTTTTGCAAGGTATTTATAATGTATTCTGGTATTTTTCAAATTGGGAGCCCTAACTACCAAAAATTGAGGAGACTACCACGAAGAGCTAGAGAAAGTGACCTCTATGAAGGAAATAATGCCAGATGGAAATTTGGATCTAGACAAAGGAATGATAAGTGCTGGAAAAAATAAATATGTGAATAAATATAAAAGACTATTTTGGCCCGGCTCAGTGGCTCACGCCTGTAATCCCAGCACTTTGGAAGGCTAAGGTGGGCGGATGACCTGAGGTCAGAAGTTCGAGACCAGCCTGGCCAACATGGTGAAACCTGGTCTCTACAGAAAATATGAAAATTAGCTGGGCGTGGTGGTGGGCGCCTACAATCCCAGCTACTTGGGAGGCTGAGGCAGGAGAATCGCTTGAACCCAAAAGACGGAGGTTGCAGTGAGCAGAGATTGTACCACTGCACTCCAGCCTGGGCGACAAGAGTGAAACTCCATCTCAAACGATAGTAATAATAATAATAATAGACTTTTTTCCTCATCGAAAGAAAATTTTTTAAAACTGACTATTTAAAGCAAAAATATTAAGCATATGTGGAATTTATAACATCTAAAGAAATAAAATCTATGACAATAGTAAAAAGGAAGGGAGAAGGAATGTGTAAGCAGCACATTGCTGTAAAATTCCACATGTGAAGTAGAGTATCATTTTCAAAGTACACTATAAAAAGTTAAGTTGTATACCATACAAACTGTAGACACACTCATTAAAAAAAAACAAAGAAGTTAAAAGGATAAAAGAAATCAAGCATATACCAATGACAGGAAAGCTAGAAAGGCTGTATTAATATCAGACAAAAAAGACTGCAGAATAGTGAACATCACCGGGATAAAGAGAAACAGTTCATAATGCTAAAGGGGTCAATTCATCAACAAGACAAAACAATGAACACCTAAGAACAGACTTTCAATATACGTGCAGCCAAACTGGTGGAAGTGAGAAGAGAAACAGACAAATCCATCATTATGACTGGATACTCGAACACTCCAATCTCAGTAAAGAAAACTGGACAGAAAATGAGCAGGGATGCAGAATACCACTAACAATGAACTCAGATCGACAAAGCACCCGCCTAACATATATTCTTGTCAAGTTCATACCAACATTCACCATGTGTTGGGCCATAAAACAAGTATTCATAAACAGAAGAAACTGAAAGTATACGGGCATATTCTCTGTTTGTAACAGAATTACACTAAAATCATTAACAGAAAACCCCCAAATATTTAGAAGCTAAACAACGCACTTCTAAATAAACCATGAGTGAAAGAACAAATCGTAAGAGAGAGTAGGAAATATTTTGAAATAAATAAAAATGAAAACATAATGTATCACACTTGTGGACTAGAGCTAAAGCAGTTCATAAAGGTACATTTACGGCTTTCAATGCTTAAATCAGAAATGAGAAGAGTCTAAAATCAATTATCTGGGCTTCTACTGTGATGAGGTAGAGTCTGAGGAAAGAGAAAACACTGAAAAGGGAAAATCAGTGGATTAGAGTGAAAATCAATGACAACAGAGAAAAACCAACAAAGCCAGAAGTTGTTTATTTTAAAAGATTAACAAAATTAATAAATGCATAAAGACTTTTTGAGAAAAAGAGAAAAAAATCAATTAACAATTTGAGAAATAAAAGAGGAGGACGTCATTATATATCCTACAGATATCGCAGAAAATACTATGAACTATATACCAATACATTAACAAGTTAGGTGAAGCAAATGCTTTTGAAAAACACAAATTACCAAAACCCCCTCAAGAAGAAATAGGAAAATATGAATAGTTCTGTATCTATTAAGGAAATTTAATTCATAATTTAAAACTTTTCCCAAAAACAAAATGCCAGGTTCAGAAGCCTTCACTAATGAATTCTACAAACAAGAAACAAAAAGAAGAACTGGTAGAAATCCTACACAAACCTCTAAAGAGGAAGAAACAGATCCCTTCTCATATCAAATGTTACAGAAAGAAAACCAGAGACCAATATCCCTCATGAACATGTATGCAAAACTCCTTAATAAAATATTAGCGAATCAAATTCATCAATATATTAAAAGCGTAATAGATCATGACCAAGCAGATTTTATCCTAGGAATACAGGCTGGTTTGACAACTGAAAAACAACTGACATTTCACCATTATTTATAAATCAATGTGATATGACATAAAGAATTCTAATCTAGAAGTTGGGAGACAGGGTGCAATTGCCTAGACCAGAGTGGCAAAATCTGTAGTACTCAAACATTACATAGGACTGAATGTAGAAATTACATTTAAAAAGAAGTATAGGGACGCGGTGGCTCACACCTGTAATCCCAGCACTTTGGGAGGCTGAGGCGGGTAGATCACGAGGTCAAGAGATCGAGACCATCCTGGTCAACATGGTGAAACCCCGTCTCCACTAAAAATACAAAAAATTAGCTGGGCACGGTGGTGCGTGCCTGTAATCCCAGCTACTCGGGAGGCTGAGGCAGGAGAATTGCCTGAACCCAGGAGGCGGAGGTTGCGGTGAGCCGAGATCGCGCCCAGCCCGGGTAACAAGAGTGAAACTCCGTCTCAAAAAAAAAAAAAAAGAAGTATAGGGACAAGTGTTAAATGCAGACTCTGGTGCCAGACTGTGAGGTTCAAGTCCTAGTTCCATCACTTACTAGCCGTGTGACCTCTGGGCAAGCTACTTATCTTTCCCTAAACATCTTCATTATAAAATAGAGATGACAAATAAGAAAAATCAGAACACTACTTTCTATTATTTCCCTCCCCTCAAGTACTGATCACTCAATTCAGGAGCACAAAATCAAATGAGTCAGAGCTTATAATCGTCAATTTTCTACTAAGAAAGGAGGACGGGGACTAACGTTTGTATTCTTCTCTTTCTTGAGATTGACTACACTTTCCAGCTGAGTATCACATATTAATGTAATGTTCACCAATTACATTTTAAATATAGCCATTCAGTTCTATCAAACGTTTAACACTCTTTGGTTTGCAGCCTTCTGAAACAGTCTTTAATTTGGAAATCTTCCCATCATAGCCAAATCGATTTGAGGAAACATAATTTTGGGGAGTTGTAAAACTGTGCTTAAATTCTAATACGGTTTTAAAAATGCTAAAATGCTAACATGCAGAACAGATATTAAACCAATCCATTTGGAAGTATTTCTTATTAAATTTATATCTTAGTGATTCTTACAGCCCGAGATGTATTACCTCTTCCTTTGCTTCAGTCTTACTTGAAGGACCCTTTCCTTGTTTAAAAATCTTTCCAGAAAAACGCTATTCATGTTTAAGATTCCAAACACTTTCATGTTAATTCTTAAGACAGATCTTAATTATGAAGACACAATTGTTAAACTCTGGTAGAAAGAAACAGACTGTTCCTATACATTTAGAACCCATGTAAATAAGCAGTGTTCTAGATACTATATCATGGTTCAAAAGCCCACTTTGTTTCCTTGGTTTATTTATTTAAAACTCCCTATGTGTCAATATCCCATCCAACAGCCCAGAATTAATACTGAAATCTAGAAATCTGCTAGTGACCTGGATTGCTTTATAAAGCTGAATTCAAACTACATAAAATAATTCTTAAGACTTAGGAATGTGAAACAAGAGTTTTCTCCTTAAAGTAGGACACTTTAACAATTAGTCTAAATAAATTCATACAAAATCATATGTATCTTTTAACAGATAATATCTTCTGCTGTTATATATAGAAGTCTATGTATCACTGTGCAATATGACAATAAATGCCAAAGACAGAAAGACAATAATGGAAGGCAATGCAAGTTGGCTTCTTTGGACTTTTGAGTCTCCAAACCTGTATTTTATGTCAGGTCTGCTACATACTAACTTGCCAAGCTTATGCCCCCCACCCTTTTTTTTTTTAAAGACAGATTCTCACTCTGTTGCCCAGGCTGGAGTGCAGTGGTGCAATATCAGCTCACTGCAACCTCCACCTCCTGAGTTCAAGAGAATTCTCCTGCCTCAGCCTTCCGAGTAGCTGGGATTATAGGCATGCCCCACCATGCCCAGCTCATTTTTTATTTTTAGTGGAGAAGGGTTTTCGCCATGTTGACCAGGCTGGTCTCAAACTCCTGACCTCAGGAGATCCACCCGGCTTGGCCTCCCAAAGTGCTGGGATTACAGGTGTGAGCCACTGCACCCAGCCAAGCTTATCCTTTCTAAGCTTAAGAGTCTATAAAATAAAAAGGTGACCTCAAAGATCCCTTCTAGTTTTCTTTCTTCCTTCTAATTTAAAAGAACGGCAGTCTCAAAACAAAGACATGACTATAAAAATACTGTTCCATCTTAAGAGACAGAGAAGCAAGCATTAGTCCAGTCTATTTCCATGGGATTCTAGAATTCTGGTAATAGTTTTGTTATCACCTGTTACGAATATAACTGATAAGTAGGAAATGTAATATGTGTTTAAAGAATCACTCCATCTTCATACCAGTGTATGAGAAACAAGAGTACAAAAATGCCGTTTTTCTTAAAATTAAAAAGAGGCAACCATGTGTTAAGGAATACTCTGATAAAGCCATAGCAGCTTCTATTTCAAAATTTAAGTAGCTATTAAGAAGCTACCACAGCAAGCCATGGCCCACTTAGAAAAGAAAAACCTTCCCATGTTACAGATACATATAAACATTATCTTTCATATTAAAGCCTAATGGCTCCTTATTCAACATCTTCCAAATACATAAACATTGATTATCTCTAGCTTAGTCAACATTAAAAGTGCTGCCATCTCCTATCTCCATCGAACTATATTTCTTTTTTCTTTTTTTTTTTTTGAGCTGGAGTCTCACTCTGTCGCCCAGTCTGGAGTGCAGTGGCACCATATCAGCTCACTGCAACCTCTGCTTCCTGGGTTCAAGCAATTCTCCTGCCTTAGCCTCCCGAGTAGTTGGGACTACAAGCGTGTGCTGCCATGCCCGGCTAACTTTCATATTTTTTGTAGAGATGGAGTTTCACCATGTTGGCCAGGCTGGTCTTGAACTCCTGACCTCAGATGATCCACTCTCTATGGCCTCTCAAAGTGTTGGGATTACAGGCATGAGCCACCGTGCCCAGCCCATCCAATTACATTTGAATCTTCTCTTCATTCTATACAAACACTTTAAGTCCTGTATTCTTTTTTTTAAATTTATTTATTTTACTTTAGGTGCATACTATTTCTCCCCACGTTATCCCTCCCCACCCTCCCCTCCCTCCTCACCCCCGACTGTCTCTCCCCTACCTCCCCAACTGCTCCCAGTGTGTGATGCTCCTCTCCCTGTGTCCACGTGTTCAAAGACCTGTATTCTTATCCTCAGTAAAGCTCCTAGTGGATTACACATCTTGTTCTGAAACATACACGTGAATTCTCTCACGGCTGGTAAAGTCTAAACAAAATTACCACACAGAGCCAGGTTTCCGTAATAGTAGAACACAGATTTATTCATTAAACACATGCTGGATTATTGATGAAAACCCTGGATTAAAACCTGCCACACTGCATCAGATCAAGAGCCTGCTCATGGCTCCTTCAGGTAGCCCTGAAAGAGATGCTGTAGGAAATTAAACTGGTTCATCACAATTAAATTTCACAGTGAAGCCTCACACATTATCATCTGTGACATTATCTTTAAAAGTAGACATCTATCTATCCTGAATATTCTGAATTCTCAGAAAGACTCTTGAAAATACTCCATTTCTTCCAGCCTTTCAAATGCACAAGCTAATGCAACCAAAAGTGTGGGTAAAGTTGTGTTTTCCAAATGAAGTAATGTATGTAAACATGCTCTGGGAAGAACCATGCCCTATATGCATTAAACAAGTGTATCATCCTCTTTGTCATAAAGGACCCCTCTCCATCTACCAATGATGTTACAGACATGTTATAACTAGCGTTCCTGTGAGCACAGAGAAGAAATGAGTTTTCTTTTTGCCGTTTTAGAATTTTCTTCAATTCCATTCCCTTTCCCTTCCTATTCTTTCATTATATTGTATTTTTTGCCTTTCTCTCCCAGAGTAGCAACACATTTCTTTATTACTCCAGAGTTCCTTTAACCCATGTTAACTTTACTTCTGATTCAAATGAAAAAGGAATTTGAAGACCAAATAAGGAATGCACATCCTGAATGTTATTAGTGCGCAGTATGCTCCTAAGGCAAAAAGCAACAAAACCCTGTGACACACACACCATGACTTACCTTCTGGCTCACTCTCTGACCCTGAAACATTGCCATAGCTACTCATTAATGAGCATAAGGCTGGTGTCACTTCCTTGGGTATGACAGAATGTTGTGGTTTCTCCTCCTTATCAGACTCTGAAATGAAAAGAACTAAGATTCAAAAGTGTACCTCAAAACATCTACCACCATAAAAAAGCTGACCATCTTCCACTCCTTCATTTGCTAGTGAAAACTGAGTAATTTCTGATCATTTCCTCAATCTTTCCAAAAACCTAATTCTAGGAGGCCAGAAACATTCTCCCTTGGTTTGCACATTGTCCTGGGCAGAGAAACCATTTGCCCCAGAGGAGACGGTGGGGCAAATGGAAGCTTTATAGAGCTCAGTTACTTAGCACGCTTCACAGGTCATACAATTTGGGTGTGCTCAAAGTTAATTACATAGTCTTTGCTGTTCCTTTACAGATAGTAGGAAGGCCAAGACTTTATTCAGCTTCACCGGATTTGGCATTGCTGACTCTGAAAACTAGGGTTAGAAATAAATAAAATATTAAAATACCTATACTTTTAATTGTTTTCAAGACTGTTTTTCAGGATCCAAACCATTTTGGTTTGAATATTCAAAGCATTCTAGAGGCTTAGTCAAACAGAAATGCTGAAATTAATCCACCCAAAGGTTTTTGGAGACAGTCTTGCTCTGTCATACAGGCTGAAGTGCAGTAGTGTAATGTCGGCTCATGACAACCTCTGCGGCCAGGCTCAAGCAATTCTCTTACCTCAGCCTCCTGAGCAGCTGGGATTACAGGTGTGTGTCACTATGCCCACCTACTTTTTCTGTATTTTTAGTAGAGATGGGGTTTCACCATGTTGGCCACTCTGGCCTCAAACTCCTGGCCTCAAGTTGATCCATCCACCTTGGCTTTCCAAAGTGCTGGAATTATAGGTGCGAGCCCCTGCACCCAGCTCACCCAAAGTTTTTATTATTTAAAACTTCTAAGAACTTAAATAAACAAGGCAACCATGAGAATTCACCAAGTATAATAATGAAGTGCCTGCCAAAGGTAAACTGTTTGATCTGGGCTCAGCAAGCCTGCTTGTAGCCCCAGGACACCAACTATTACATTTCTTTTTGGCAGCTCTAACAAAGTATTCACTCTATTCTAGACAACCAATAAAAATTAAGGCCTCACTGAAGTCAGTAAGTAATTTGTCTATTTAATTAACCAACTCAACCAAAAACCAACATAAAATGTTTCAAGACTGAGCATTTAATGTTCACCAAATCGGTCTAGGGGAAACCAAAGCATGCCAATGGGAAATGGGAATATCCATTTATGTGAATGTTCAACAGCCACCTTCTGCTGGATGAAGCTAAATCCTCTCTCCTCACTACCCACCATCAAACCTACAAAAGTACTCCTTGTCAGTTTTAAGCTAAAATACCTTTTCTCCTGATTAATAAAGGGAAAGTTATGCAGTTTATATATGTGAATTACTAGTAGATTAAGCAATCTATCACAGTGTTACTATGGAGACTTTCCATTCATTGGTTAAATGATTAAAAACCAAACTGTAGCATTTATTTCCAAGACTCAAAGACAGGTAACAAAAAGTACAGTAAGAGTTGAATATTACGCTCTTCAAAAGCATGATCTGACCTAATCCTTGGTATGTGATGAGTGATGAAACAAAAATCCAGAGAATCTGAGTAACTTTTCCTTAACACAACCAGAAATCGGTGGATCAAATTTAAAGCCTGGCCATCTGACTCCAAATCCAAATTGCTATCAGTGAGCTAGAATGCTTCCCACAGACATATAAAGTCTTCTCAAAATGAAGCCATCCTATCAAAGTGTTTCTGTGGTCCACGATAATGCTAGTAATGTCTTCCAGCTATAGCTCCATTCCCTTTCGTAGGCAAACTCCGTAGAGTTATTTGATACACAGTCATACCTTGGAGACGTCGTGGATTTGGTTCCAGACCACTGCAGTACAGTGAATATGGCAATAAAGCAAGTCACACAAATGTTCTGTTTTCTCCCTGCATGTAACAGTTATGTTTACACTACACTGCAGCATATAAAGTGTACGATAGCATCATGTCTTACAAAACAACGTTTGTACCTTAATTCAAAAATATTTCATTGCTAAAAAATGTTCAAAATCATCTGAGACTTCAGGAAGTTGTGATAGTTTGCTGATGATGCTGGCTGCTGACTGATCAGAGTTGTGGTCTCTAAACGTTGGGGTGACTGTGGTAGTCTCTCTGCCTTGACTGCTACTCCCTTAGGTTATCAGCTCCTCATTTCATTCAGATGCCTTAATGTCACCTTATCAGAGGTGCCTTATTGATCACTCCAAATAAAACAGCATATCCCCTTCTCTGACCACCATTCTCTATTCTTTCACTCAGCTTCATTCATCTTTATAATTTTTTTTTTTTTTTGAGACTGAGTTTCACTCTGCTGCCCTGGGTTCAAGTGATTCTCCCCTTAGCCTCCTGAGTAGCTGGAATTACAGGCACTTGTCACCATGCTGGACTAATTTTTGTATTGGCTAGGCTGGTCTTGAACTCCTTACTTAAGTGATCTGCCCACCTTGGCCTCCCAAAGTGCTGGGATTACAGGTGTGAGTCACTATGCCTGGCTCCCACATTTTCTGTATTACCTTTATAATCAGAAAATAACAGAAAAAAAAAACGAAGGGAAATTGACCCTGAAAAACTGTATTCTTCACAATCTAATTCATGAAGCAGAGGGCAATGGCCTACACAGTCCTTTCCCTCCTGCCTTCTTTTTTAAACTTTGTATTTTGAAACAATTTTGGATTTATACAAGTGTTGCAAAGATGGTACAGAGTTTTCATGTACACTTCATCCAGCCTCCCTAATGTTGCCGTCTTACGTGACCAAAGTACTTTACCACGGCTGAGAAGCTGACACTGCTATCACACTAGTACTGAAACTACTACAGCCCTGCACTGTGATTCCAGCAGCCTTTCCACTAACATCCCTTTCCTGTTCCAGGGTACACTCTGCCGTCCTGCATGGCATTCAGTTGCCATGGCTCCTTCATCTTCTCTAGATCTGTGACAGTTTCTCAGTCTTTCCTTGTTTTTCATAAACTTGACATTTGGAAGATTGTTGTCAGGTGTATGTACAATGTCCCTCAGTTTGGGTCTGCCTGACATTTTTGAAGATTAGACTGAGGCTATGGATTTGGGGGAGGAATATCACAGAGATGTGCCCTTCTCATCACATCCCAGGGTCCATGATGTCAGTAGGACTAATTACTGGTAATGATGACCATTAAGGTAAGAAAACTCTGCTTTCTCTACTACAGAGTCACTATTCTTCTCTTTTATTATTCTACTTCTCGAAATGAGTTACTAAGTTTAGCTGACACTCCAGGGGAGAAGAATCAAGATTCAACTCGAATAAGGAGTATCAAAGAATTCTGGACATATGTTAAAACCACAGTCATTAATAACTACTGTAACTAACAAATATTTTGGGGGGAGATATTTTGAGGCTATAACAAATACTGTTTCATTTTAACATTTCACCACTAATTTCACCGTTCATCGGTGGATCCTGCCCAAAACAATTATTACTGTGGTGCTCTAATCCTGACTTGCTATTTCTCTCATTTCTTCTACATTTTTAGAATTCTTTTGTAACAAAGATCTGTCCTTCCTCCCTCATATTTGTTTAGGCACTTATATCAGAACAGACCCATGGACATTTATTCAATGGAGGGCTATAATTTATTAATTTTGTGGCTCCAATTGTTCCAACTTTGGCCATTGGGAACTCTTTCTGATATCTTTCTCACATGCCCACATCTTCACATTTTTTGAGCATTTTCTTACTTTCTGGCGCCTTATATTTTCCCTGTCCCAACCCCAGAGTCAGCCATTTCTCCAAGAGGCTCTGGTTCCTTTACCAAGAGAATAGTATTTGGAAACCACAATGAGAGTGCTGGGTATACTTATTCCCAGGAGTGTCACAAAGCTCACTATACTTGACTCACCCAAAGGGCAAGTTACAAATTCACACAAATAACTCTTTCCCTATTTTTTCTTCTCCTCTCAGTTAAATGTTTAAGGGACACACCACATGTAGTAACACTTCGAAAAATACTGTCCTTTTGGCATTTTCAGAATATCTTCTACAATGACTTTTCATCTTAAAAAAAAACAAAATGTCCCTGGGAACTACCTACTAGTTCTAATGCAGGCATTTTTAGCACCTATCTGTAAGACCATGCTGAAGGCATTGTACTGGCTGACAAATAATACTCAAGAAACCTCATTTTATAAAAGCAGCTAAAACATCTTTCTAAAGTGAAAATATCAGTATAAAGATAGCAGCAATTGATCCGATAAAACCGGATTTTAGCATTTTTATAAAATACTAGCTCAAACAATTCCTCTTACCATTAAAACATTAGTGACACGTTTCTTAGGGTAAATCTCACCCCTTTCTCTCATATCATGTTCCCACCATCCAAAAAAATAGTAATAATCTAATGCAATGATCTAAAAATTATCCTTAGACTATAAGTTCTTAGAAGGCAGGAGACTCCTTTGAAATCTGCGGCATGTTAGTGAATTACAGCGATGGGTGAACCAAACGCAGGACCTTTTAAATTCCCACCAAAAGGAAAGCAGCAAAGTAACGCTGCCCTTTGAACGTTTTGCCTACTCTACACGGCAGCTGCGGAAGCTTCCTGTCTGCTCTACACGGCGGCTGCGGAAGCTTAGTATCCGCGCTACATACACGGCGGCTGCGGAAGCTTAGTATCCGCGCTACATACACGGCGGCCGCGGAAGCTTAGTATCCGCGCTACATACACGGCGGCCGCGGAAGCTTCCTGTCTGCTCTACACGACGGCCGCGGAAGCTTAGTATCCGCGCTACATACACGGCGGCCGCGGAAGCTTAGTATCCGCGCTACATACACGGCGGCCGCGGAAGCTTAGTATCCGCGCTACATACACGGCGGCCGCGGAAGCTTCCTGTCTGCTCTACACGACGGCCGCGGAAGCTTAGTATCCGCGCTACATACACGGCGGCCGCGGAAGCTTAGTATCCGCGCTACATACACGGCGGCCGCGGAAGCTTCCTGTCTGCTCTAC